TCTGCCATGGCTGCAATAACAAATTTGCTTTCCGAAGAAAGAGAGGAAGTGAGAAATCCCCGGCCGTACCACACTGTGTAACCCATTGCCGGCCGGGGCAGGCAGCTGCCCGCCTCCTTCCTGAGCAGTCTGATTTAGTTTGTTTGCCTGCTCCAAAGCAAACAGTGTTGAAACTCGGGGGGGTGTTTGGCAAATCCCCTCCCTCGCTTATAAAAGCTGCTTCCTGGCGCAAGGTTTCCGGCATCCTGTTCCTTCCAAACAGTGCTGGCAAGGGGTGGCGGGGGGATCCCAGAAATATTTGATGCTCATAACTCAGCATCTGAGTACTGAGGTTTATCTGCCAGCTGCTCCCTCCAGCTGCAGAGGGGCCGTGGGGACTGATGCAGCCCATGCTGGGGTCACCTGTGCCCGGTGGGGCTGCAAGAGGCCTCTGCACCCACCAGTGCCGTGTCTGTCTGGCTGCGTGTGCGGCAGCGTGGAGCCAGTGGCACCCATTGGCTCCAAGGTGCTCGGCCTCCTCCTTCCTTCGTTAGCAGCACAACGAAGGGCTCGGCCATGGCTCAGCTGCTTTTAGCACTTGAGCCCTTCGCTGTTTTTGCTTAATCCTTGGCCAGAGAGTGGCATCCACCACCTGTGTCCAGGACTCAGGTCACAGGGACCAGCCCTCGATGTGCCAGCACAGACAGTGCTAAACCAACACCTGCAGTTTTTGAACCAAAACCCCGCACTTCACTGCAAACCCACCCACAACCAACCATAAAAACTGCCGCTGCCCTAAACTATTTGTGCATCTCTAAAGCCAGCCTTTATCTTGCTGTCCTTAAAACCTGAGCACCAGTGGCACAAAATCATCAACTCAGAGCAGATCTCCCAGGCAGCCACATCACCCGGCCACACGGGACACGGCGTTGCTGCAGCAGGTCTGCTATGGGACCAGGGGCTCTTCCAAAGGGAACCGGGCAGATAAACACCAGGTTTGCTGCTATTATTTCTGCTTTTCCTGCTAGGCAAGGGACACAAAGCCCTTGGTTTCAACAAGACAACCTTTGGTGCAAACCCATGGGCCAGGGCAGCAGGGACGCAACTGCCCTGGAGCTGCCAGCAAGCAGCACCCTCCAGGGGGATGCTCACCACCTCCAGAAGCCCCACCATGACCTGAGAAGTGGATTTTTGGACATCAGGCTAAAGCCCAGGGGACCAAATGGGTGCAAACACCACCTTGCCTGGGCAGGGAAAAGGTTGCTCATCTTGGCTTCTCACCCTGAGGTCTCTGGGACCAGGTCGGGTTGGAGAACACAGAAACGGAGCTCAGAGGCTGGGGTTGGTAGGGCTGGATTGGACCCAACACCCAAGCACATGCCACCCCATGGCCCACAGGGGACAGGCACAGCCTTGTGGCAGGGGTACACAGAGGCACTGGGTGTTGAGAAACTTCTGCATAAAGCTGCCAGGAATTGGTTAGGAAGGACCCAGGAGCAAAATGGAGACCTTCATCTATTTGGTCCCCCTCTGCAAGGTTCCCAAGGACACCTGTGCAAGGTGGAGGCACCAGCAAGGGCGGCCGCCTTGGGGCAGGGATGTGACACCTCCGCCATGTGCCCTATGGGGTCCCCAAACCTGTGAGGCAGGGAGTGCCCCAGAAGGCAGCCCCAGGCACTTCTCACCTCCTCTGCTTTAGCTCCCCTGCCCCATGGCTATGGCAGATGCCTCAAGGGTCTGGTAGCTGCAACCCATGCCAGGCTCTGGCAAGGCATCCTGGCACACCCAGCAGCCCTTCCTCATCCCATGCCATCCCATCGACCACCGCAGGCTCCTCCAGGCTGTCCATTTGTCTCTGCTCATGCTCTGCTCTGCTTCTGGTACCAGTGGCATCCCAACAGCAGCTGATCCAGGGCCCGAACATTTTCCCTGTGCCCACCGCTCAGGCTCAAGGGGATACTATAAACAAATCCTGCAGATGTACCTGGTAGAAGTATGTTGTGTGGGTTTTAATTCACAGAAAATTGGAGTAAATTTAGCACAGATAGGAAGTGAGCCACTGAATTCTGCTGTACCCCATCGAGACCCTCTCCCCCATGGCCAGTCATTGCCTGGTCTCTGTCTTGAAAGGAGCTGGAGGGAGAAGTAGGATTTTCTTGGGGACCTTGAAGGACAGTTTGACTACTCACAACCCATGGCCCCACATGAGATGGGTACCACTGTGATCTACCACATGATGCTGAAGCGGAGCAATTGCTTGTACGAGCTCCTGCTTCCAAGAGAGTGGGATGTAGCAGTTCAAGGCAGTGGGGAACAGACAAAATTAAACTGAACAACAGTGTTTTGGGCTTTTTTCCCTTAGTAAATATGGAAAGTGAGCTGCAGCTATTTAGCTGGAAAAACTATTCAATCAGTGCTGTTTCCCATACAGACAATACTTCAGTCCTTGAGAGGCTGGGCTGAATTCAGGCCAGAAGCAGCAGAGGTGAAGAGCGGAGCCTCCCACGAACCCCACGTCTTTGTGCAGCCGTATGGAAACAGGCGGCCACGGCTGCCGGCCCCACCGCCTTCTGCAGGGGGTTCTCTGCTGCAGAGCCAGATCTCGGGAAACGGCGAATTTACTGGTCACCCAGCACCCCTGCTTTTCAGCAAAATGACTCAGGTGTGGAGCAATGCAAAGTGAGAGAGTGCTGGTGTTATTCTAGCCAAGGCCAGACAAAAGCTATTTCAGCCTCTGGTCAAAATCCTACTTTTTCTCTCTAAGCGCATTTACTGGAGAAGCGTCAAAGACCAAGAATGTAAAAATGTGCTTACAAAAAGTAAGCTGCAGTAAGGCTGCACAATTCCTGCCTACCCCTCTGACCACAGCAGGAGCTGCTCTGGGTATTCCTTTAACACACCACACTTGCCGGAAAACCAAGCAATGAAAAAGGCATGAAAAGTTTCAGCAAAGCCTCCTTTCTCCCCTCTCCCAGCTCAGGCAGTGGAAACTCTGCAAGCAGACCAGCAAAGAGCCAGGTTTTGTAAAAATGAGGGCTACGCCACACTGCCCTGCTCTCAGGGCACCCACCTTGTGCCCCCACCAGTGTGGTTCACCACTTTAATTTAAGGGTGTCACGTTGTCCCTGTGGGTTCTGCCCATCAGAAGAAAAGCAGAAGTTAAAAAAAATCCTGACCAAGTACGCAAAGGAGGCGCAGGAGGGAGCAGAGAGGTGGGAATTCAGAACAAAAACCTGCTGCAAGGTCTGGCTGCCTGAGCAGTGATGGTGCTCGCTGCCCTGCAAGAGGCTCTTGCAAACCCCTGCCCGGCTGCTGACTCAGCACACAGCCTCGGCCAAACCACTCGAGCCGTGCACCCCGGGGACGGGCCAGAGCCAGCACCTCCCAGCGTGGGAGGCACCGACAACAGCAGGGAGCACCAGCAGGCCAGCCTGGACGCAGGTCAAGCGGTGAAGGGAGGCTGAAGAGCTTCACCTCTGCTTAGAGCAAAACTACAAGGGTTACGCGCAGCCCTTCCTAGAAGCCAGGAAATTGTTCTTTCTTTTGTGTCCAGTGTTATGGTGGGAAACCGTAATGAAACAGGCAGTGCAAAGGCAGTGCTTGGAAGGGCAGCGGTCCTTCGTGGACTGCAGTGAGCTGCCAAAAAGCTGGAGTAGAAAGGGAAAGCGGGCAGTTATCTCTGCAGCCTGCTGCCGCCGGAGGAAATTGTCCCTTCTATCAATGCCTAACAACTCTGGCTGAAATAGGAGTCCTTGCCACACCTCTGCTGCCTTCCTTGTAACCAAAAGCTCTTTTCTTTCATAGCAATCTCCATTTTAATCTAGCACAAAAAAGCATTTTCTTTTTATGGATTTCATTAAACTGCCTGTTCCAGCTCCAGCGACACTGTGAACCTGACGACTCGACAACGTGCTCAAGCAGAAGTTAGGTAGAAAGAATCAATAACAACTTATCAGGGAAAGGCCAGCCCAGGAGAAGCGAGAGGTTTCAAGAAGACACAAGAAACTCAGCTTGAGGAAAGCACCATCATATCATCCCCTGCTCCAGGAATCAAACACATTATTTCAAACTTAATATGCTGCAAAATGTTGCAAACCAAAAAACTCCTATTATTCTTTCAGACTAGTTTGAACTTCCTACCATTTAACAAAGATGTAGTCACATCCGCAGAGTTCCTTATGAGCATCTTAAAAAGTAGGAATGAATCATTTCCTTGTACAACAATCAACTCTGCAATGCCATGGTCTTGGAAGTGACAGTTGAACAGTCAAAGGCAAGCATTCAAAAGAAAATAAAAGCATTTAATGCAAAACATTTTACCAAAAGTTTTTACAGCAGTTTCATATAAATGGAGTCTTCTCTTAAAACCTGAAACCACCGATACAAATGTATTGTTACAAAGCTGATTACAAAACTATCTCCTCAGCCACACAGAGAGGTAGGGAGGGTCATCTGAAAACACCTAAGACGAACTGAAAAGTAACATTCAGGATCCAGCTTGCTATGTCTAAGTGATGGTAATGCACATACATTTTTGGATTAAAACTTCACAGGCTGGTACGTTTTTACCCATAAGTCCTTTATTAAGCTTCCTAATAATTTGTGGGTATGGAACGGAAATATCTGAGATGCCTGTCAGCTCTATTATATGATTTTCCCTAATGATGGGAAGAACTGATGTCAGGGCAGACTATGGTGCGTGTTTCCCTGCAAGGAGCAGGCTAGGGATGGTTAGAAAGAAAGAAAGAGTTTCCGTTCCTGCTCAGTTGCTGCAAGGTGTAGTTTCTGAGACCTGAGGGCAGGTCTGAACGGGTGCATCCTGGCCCCTCCAGCTGCCCAGTGGCTCAGGGAAGGGCAGCCAGTGGGAGGAACAAGAGGTACTCCAGACTCCCTGTCTGGAGCCACTGCTTCCCAGGGTGTCAGAGACTCAGATGGGTACAGAGAGAGCTCATTTTGGAGCGAGCAAGGCCCTATGGAGACTGACAGTAATCAGTCCAGCCAGGATCCTGGCATGCCCGCAAAGAGCTAGAAACAAAATTGGTCCTTGTCGAGAACTAGCTAAAGGCATCTGGAAGGGACAGGCAGCACAGGCTGGAGCCCTCTCCTCACCTCCACAAAGCGCTTCAGCAGCACAGGCACTTCCCCAGCACGTTAATTCATTCCTTCGTCTGGCAGCCTGGACTCGTCTGGAAATGATTACCTGTGAAAGGAGCTCTTTCACCAACGCAGCCCTTCACTGAAGCAGCGTCCTGCGAGGCCGGGCTCTGCCTGGTCTGCTGCCAGCCAAGCAGAGAAAGGCTCCAGCTAATCCCCAGCAGAACTGGGCTGCCTGCTCCCCGCTTTGCAAAACAACAACAAAAAGGCCTTCGAGGAAGATGCAGTGGGGTGAACGCCGCTCTCTAGAAAACAAAGCCACATTAACCAGCCTCAACAAAGCAACGGTTTACTTCTCCAGTAGAAGGGCAGGCTGGTGCCTTCCCTCTCCAGGACAGACAGTCTTTTGGGCTCTTCGGGGACACGTGGGAGGCCGCCTTTTCTTTATTGCTGTGCTGCTCCAGTGCTAGGCTCCCCGCGCTGCTACCAGGAGCTGAAGTCCCCGAAGCCTGTGCTCTTTTTCTCTTTCTTTGCAGCTGTGCTGGTTGAGGGCCCGTCATCTTCCGCGCCGTGCTTCCTGGAGCCAAAATGAAAACAACTCTCAGGGACTATTTACCGTTTGGTGGGATCGGGGTGGCTGGATGCCTTTCTTCTCCCAGCAACAGCTACACTGGAGCCAGCCCTTCCCTTACAAATTAGAAAGGAGTACAAGCTCCGTGCTGGCGTGGGGACCACAGGAGGGGTGGGGATGGGGCCTCTGGCATACCCAAAAAGAGGGAGAGCATGTCAGTCTGTGGGGTTGGTTCGGGTCAGGCTTTGAACATTTCCAGGAATGTGTTCAAAACCCAACAAGTTCTCCAGGCCAGAGCTGATGGTTTAACAGCTGTACTTTTTTAGCAGAGTCATGACAAAAACATGAGCCACAAGCCCTGCCTTCTCACCTGCATTTGTGGCAGCAAAAGAATTAATGGGGAATTAGGCATAGAGCAGCTGGGCAAGTTTTTCAGACCCTTCCCTGCTTCTTGAGCATGGCCCGTTGCAGTCGCTGCTGCTGCTATTCTCAGCCTCTCTCGAGCAGTTTGCAACCCCATGGAAACACTACACAGCCAGCTCACCTGCTGCGGGTTTACTGTCACAGATCAGTAGCTGATAGGGAGAACTGAGAACCCTGAACGTGATAAAGGGCTGCTACAGACCATCTCCCAGTTCAAGACAGGCTGCAAGGACTAAGAAAGAAAAGTCCCTTTCTACTTGGCCCTTTCCACAGAGCTGCAAACTCTGCCTGGTTTTCCTCTGTAAATACAGTGCAGAATGACAGCAATTTCAAGCTGAAGATAATATTTTAAGGGACAAGCAATATTTTATAACTGAAGCACTTAACTGACACACCAAACTGACCTACATGGGCTAACATATTTTTGTTCTCACAGTTATGGAAATGCCTGTAAGTTACGCAGGCATATAAAGCTGATTAAATAGCCGTACAGATCTTTGTATGCATAAATACACACTTTCATGCAGCAGACAGACGGCAGCATTTTTGCAAGTGCTTTTAGAGAAGTCTGCAAAAAAATCAAGTGGAAGGCATTTATTTTAATTTATCCAAAATTCATGCAAAGCTGCCACTCAGGTGGGATTCTGTACGGTTGTTGGGAAAGCAAGCAACACTGCCAATCCCAGTGGGTGTACAAAGGGCGTCTGGGAGAGGATGCTTTAGGACAAGCCTGCACAACCAGCCAGGCACCCTTTGCTCCCACGGTAAGCCTGGGAACCTGCTCCCCTTTCCAGCCATTTCAGTTGTGCTGGTACAACTATTTGTGCAGCTGAACAGGGAACCAGATCAGCAGACTGACGTAGGCTTAAGGCAACTGCTCTGTGCAGGGGAGAAGCTGTGAAAAGAGAAACATCTGTGGGACTGTGGCCTTCAGAAATGGCTGCAGAAGAGGAAGAGAGTAAAAGACGGTGCAGGAAGTGACGCAGCACAGTTCCTCAAGGACTTCTGGGTTGTGGAAGCGTATATACAGTTCTGAAGTCAGCACATGCTGTTAAAGACATGCTCATGTTCAAGTGCTAAAAGGAAAGCTCAGTTAACTTATAATCTTGAAAAGCAACAGAAAGAGAGAGAACTCCTGACTGTTAGGACTACATGAAGGTGTCTTTGCAAAGCCCGCTGGCACAAACCAAACGTCTGAGCTATGGCACTGGACAGCGTCAGCGTCCATCAGGAAAGGCAACTAAAACACTCAGCAAAGATCAGACGGGTGGGGAACTCACGCTGCAGCCATATTAATGTATTTCCCAATCCCTTGCCGGTAAGTCTTAGGAGTCTGGACTTCTTTCTTTAGTGGCACCACCTCAGCTTTTGTTTTGGCTGCTTCTTCTTCTAGCCGGGCCTTCTCTCTTTCAGCAGCAACCTGTGGGAAGCAAAGAGTGCAATCTGTTGCAAGAGCTAGTTCAGAATAAGGAGAAAATGCCTGCAATTCTTTGAACAGCAATCAGCACCACAGTGATTACAGGGCAGGCTTCAGGAGACACACCTCAAGGGCCACTACAAACAGGCTGTCTGCTGCCTTCGTAACAAGACTCCTCTCTTCTCACCTGCAGCTACCCACAGCTACTGTGGACATCAGGAAAGGAAACCACCAGAAGCGTGAGGGACTGGGAGCTGTGCCAGGCTTAGTTACAAGACCTTTGTGCTGAAAGAGTGGCGATGATCCTGGCACACAAGGCAGCTGTTTAATCTTTGCTTGCAACCTTATGGGCCAGGGGGCTGCCCATGTTCAAAGAAAAGTTACAAAGTCCTTCCAAGAGGAGCTTTAGCCTTTCAAAAAAACCGATCAACCAACTGTCCTCACCTGGGCATCTGCCTCTTCATACGGATCAACGAAAACGGTTGTTGTCTGAATTCGTATTTCCTCCTGGGAGCAGAAAGGAAGAAGGGCAAATCAATCTGCTGATGAAGTTGTGCCATCTCCCACAAGTTCGGCTTTCAGAGAAGCACCAGCGGGGAGAACCGCACAGCCACGTGAGGCCATGTGCATTCGCCCCCTCCTGCACTGCCCCTCGTGCTTCACACATACCTTGGGACGGTCTGTTTTTGGGTCACTTTCCACATTCTCCATAGCAGTCAGAGTCTCAAAGCCACCAACCACCCTAAAAGAGGAAGGGCACAATTTCCAGCTGTCACGACACACTCAAAATATTCCCGCGCCCTTACATCTCATGTATCTCATTTATGCCCACTACTCTAGCAGATTCTTAAACCATCACGTTTGGGGAAAGGGGAATGAGCAACTGTGTTTGGAAGACCTAAGATAACGTCATTCAGTGCAGAAGGTAAGAACTATTTTCTCAAGTCTGGGATTTGAATTTAAAATTAAACAGAACATGAAGAAGTCAAACACTCAGAGGCAAAGCAAAGCCATTTGTCCAGAAACCCAGCAGCCACACAAACAAGTGAGTGAGTGACTGGGGACAGCCATCTGTGCAAGAAGACACAAACCCATTTCAAAATGGGTTCACTTGCTAATGCTACATCCATAAATTCAGAGCTTACTTGTTACTCCCATGAGCTTTGAAAAACAGACCAGCAGACTTGGCCAAGAAAGCTGATGTTTTCATTACGTTCTGGTTTTTTACCTTTTTTGCTTGATTGGTTTAAAATTGTATCTGTACATCAGACTGAAGAGTGTTATTAGGAAGAAAGGGAAGCACAGCTATGGCGCTACTGGCGCGCAGTGCCAGGGCTGCCTGCAATAACATCAGTAACGCAGAAAGCGCAGGACGGCTCCTGAAGCACACAAAGACCGTGAGCTCATGAGGGCTCTGGGAAAGCAGCAGAGCATCGAGTCACAGCCACAAGATAACACCAGGGCACTTTTCACTGCAGTTTCTATTTAGGAGGATGTCAGATCCCTGCCACCTCATTTTTCAAGTCAACGTACCCAAAGACTTGCTTCAAAATTTAAGGAAGGCCGAAGACTTTCTGGACTGGTGCATGTTCATGTTCAAAAAAAGTGCGGAACAATGGGAAAGTTCCAGAAAAGGATATTTAGAAAGGATAAATGGGGTGACCCAGATAATTATAAGCCTGTCATCCTGGCATCTATCCCAGCAAAATAATAGAATAGCGGAGACAGGACATGATTAAGAAAGAAAGGAAATAAGTAATGGCAATCAACAAGGTTTTGTGGAAAACAGAGTCTGTCAAACAACCTTCTATCTTTGAGACAACAAATGTGGTTAACAGGGATAACAGTGTCCATGGAACAGACTTCTGGAAGGCGGCTGATATTTTGGATTGAGAAATCAGAATTATATGAAGTGAACACAGCACGCATTAAAAAAAAATTGGCTGACAGGTGTCAAAATCTAATTTTAAATAGGAACCACTGAGTCAGTATGTTTCCAGAGCGGTCCTGCTGGGTTCAGATCTTGGTCCCAGGGTATTTAACACTTTTATCCACATCATCATCCCCAATTAAATTTGAAAACAGCTATTCTTAGAAGAGCAGTAAATAAACATGAAGACAGGCCGTTGATGCCGAGCGATCCAGATCCCTTAGAAAAGCAGGCTGTAGCTGGACAACATCTGTTTTAACAGAGCCAAGCCACATGGCCAGGAACCAAAAATACAGCCCATATTAATGGCTGTGGGACAACGAGAAGCAGCCGTAATTCTCCAAAAACACTGCTCCTGGAGCCAGAGGAGTTTGGGGCCAGGAGCTCAGCAGCAAGGGCAGGACCTGGCCATCGAGGAGCCCAGGGCAAATCAAGAGCCAGCGATCCTCCAGCCTTCGTGGGGTGGCAGCTGTTTTGAAGCCCGACTGCTGGGATTACTGGGACTCCCAGCACATGTAGGCTGTCAGGGGCTGGGCAGATGAAATGGAAGAAAATCAAATTACATGAAACTGGTGGAAAAAATTAAAACTGGTAGATTATTGAGAGGGTTTTACCATACTGCTTTCATATCAAAGAAATAAGCAATACCTCAACCAAAGCATACATCACATTCACAGGTATGTGACACGTTTATACACTTCTACTGTGCACATCTCATTCTTGCAGGTGTTTCACAGCCAAGCAGCCCTCTCCAGTCCCAGCATGACAGTCTGCCTGGCCAGTACCAGGAGAGGTCTGTAGCTGTCCCAAGAGAGAAATACACCTCCTCCTTACCCCTCCACACCACACTATTTACACACCTCATGCACTCCTCCCAAGAGCCACATTAACCTAACAAAACAGGCTGACCCTCATTTTTTGAGAGCCAAGTGGGTCCTTCACATTCAGGACTCAGTGCAGTACCACTGCCCTTCGCTCTTGCCCCATGGGCTAGGACAGGCACTAAACACAACTCAAAAGACAGATCCCATCACAGAAAATAAAGTGCAAGAGGGTGCTGCTCAGCACCTGCCTTGAACAGAGCCGTCCTTGCTAACTTCTCCTCCTTGCTCCCCAAGGCCCTGTAATATTCTGTAACCAGGCTGTGACTTTTAAGAGCATTTTAAAAACGTGTACACAGGCTAGAACAGCCTCATTCATTTACAACTGCAGGTGGCACACTGGGAGAAGCAGCACTGGGCTTGAAGACCCTGCATGAACTTCAGAAAGTTCATAGCAAAAACTCAATTTAAAAACCCTCCTTCAGGCCAGTATCAGATTCGTTTATAATACTGATGATTAACACACAGCCTAAGATACATTCACTGTATTTTAATTGCCCCTAAAGGAAACTTCTGATTTAATATTGGAGGATTTTCTAGCCAACAGCTCCACTCATTATCTCCTCACATGTTTTAATTTAATTAGGTTCTGATAATTTGAAATAGCCAAATCAGCTATGCACTGGCAATCTCAACTCAGTAATCCCTCAGCCCATAGCTAGACCTCCCACAATGTTAGCCCTAATGCATTTTGGCGATGCTCATGAAGCTTCATTCACTATCCTAATTAATCGTTATTGGGAATACTTTGTCACTTGTACATTTTCAAAGGCTGTGATAGACATGGCATTCACAGGTCATCAGTAAATGACCTAAATAGTCCATTTTGACATGGTTGTAAAAGGCTAAGGGGGAAGAAAGCAAAGCTGTTACGCTCGCAGAGCACGTCATTCGCTTTTCTTCTGAGCTTCTTGTCTCTAAAATGGAAAATTTGCTTTCTTTTACACCCCTGCCTTCTCTAACATTTTGCACAGGGAGTATTTCTATGCATATTACAATGTCAGCACAGTAAGCTCTCAAAGCAGGTTTAAGTCTTTAGACATTGCCATAACACCAATGAAAAATAAAAATTAACTTGAATACAAACCACTGGCTCAGAGGAGAGAGCTGTGACCAGAGGAACTGGAAATGATTGACTAGGTATTTCTGTTCAGGAGGCCTTGTCAAGGATCAGACCCAGCTGAGGTTGGTGTTTCATCAGTAAAAACTGAAATCCACAAAGGACAAGATCTGATTCCAAACATCACCCATCCAGTAAAACTGAACTACACACCAATCAGGGCAGTCATGGCTGGATGTAAAAAAATTCCAACTTAAGGTCTCAAACCATAAAGGATTTTGCAAACTTTCCTCGGATTTTTCTCAGTAGAGAGATGATGTACACACAAGCTCTCCAAACAATACATGCTGTTATTGTCAGATCTCAGGACGTTACATTGCTGCACTAAAATCCATCTGATGAGATATAATATGTATAAGCCCATGCACTGGCATCTGTTCCAACAATTGTTCCTCACAGACTGAGGAAACCAATGCACCAGAGTAGTTCTGGGAATTCTTTGCCTGTCCCACAATATCTATTATATTCTGGGTGTCAGAAGAAAAGCTCACAAACATCTTGCCAAGAAAAAAGCCCATACAAGTTATAGGTAGAAAAGACCATCAGATCAGTACATTAAAGCATAAAAAAATCTAGAGAGAGCCACTATTTAATGTTATTCTAATATCCACTAACTTTGAACAGAAACAGATAAAACCTGTTCTATGAATAAATCTGAGTCTCAGTATAAGGAACTCTGTAAGTCATTGTCATTAAAACAAAATGCAGACTCCAGAAGTTCAGACTAATCACAGAATCCCAGACCGTTAGGGAT